ACGCATTATGACATTTCAATTACCCAGATAAGCTATGGTCACTCACTCACCTTGATTTCAGAATGATAAAGGAAGAGAACAACGAAGAACACGAAGAACACACGAAACTAGATCCACAAATCTGTATTTTCTTCTTCCTTCGCGAAGAACACGGATCAGAACTCAGTTCCAGAGCCTCACAAACACAATCACAAGCTTTTAGGATCAAGAACACGAAAAAATCAATAATAATTCTTCTCTTCTCTTAACATTCTCTGAACTCTCTAGAAACTCTGAAACCGTGACACATCACGGCCCCTCATCTTTTATAGTGAAACCCTAAGGTTTTTCTTAACCCAAACCGCAACCCGACGCTAAAAAAACTGAACCAGTCGGTTCAATTAAAGTTTGCGTCGATCGACACACCCACTTTACGTCAATCAACGCACCTCCCAAAATCCTAAATTTTGGTTCACGCCGTTACCACTTTCATGATCACCGAAAGGTTGTTGGATGAACACCTCTTCAATGAATCCTAGAAGACTACCAATTTCTTTAACCACTCTATCCTCTCTTGAGTCATATGGAATGTGAAGGATCTTGACCCAAAAGGTAATGGTTCGGAGATAGTCTGGTTGATGACGTCTAGTCCATCTATCCACTACTAACATCCATTCCCGAAAGCTCCAATGGCCAACATTGTGAGTAATTGATGCTCTGCTCTAAAGAAAAACTGAACTGTTCCATCATCATTAACTCTACTCTCAATTCTTCCATCTAACTTCCATGCTTTTGGAAGAGTATTTTTGATACCTACTGGAGACTGTCGAGGTGGATTGAGTCCCTTGACGACAAGACTAGAGCGATGATTGTCCTCTCTCATCTTCTTAGCCTCGACTGAGATTTTCATGGGAGATCGTTCAAATCCTGGTTAAGATTTTGAAAAGATGTCCACCAATCCAACTCCATCATGGAAAGAAAAGTCAACCCCGTAGATCTGGCCAAGGCGTAAGTGGAATCCGATAGATCGGAAGTTTAAATCGCCGGCGACGAATCTTAGAGCGGTTAAAAAAATTTGGTAACATAGCCATTGCTTTTGCTTCAAAATATTTTAGTAGCAAATATTTGCTACAAATCGATGCAGTTTTCTACTAATTTTATAAGTTAATTTTTTTGTAGCTGTAATAATTTGTGGATAATTAGTGACGAATAACAACAAATTTTGGTCGGTAGCAAATTTGCTACAAAAAGTAACATAATTTTAATGAAAATTCTAGTCACG